ACAATTATACAGGGCTAAGAAACTTAGAGAGATTGGGATAGCACATTCGCTTTAGCAGGAGTTTTGTTGGTTTGGCAATACTTTTAACTGACCTGAAGAGATGAAGTCTTCCAAATGGAAAAATAAGGAAACTCTAGAAATGCCATTTGGTGCGGAAGGGAAGTGAGCCCATTTCCCCTGGTGGAAACTGACACGGCATTGCATGGGCATACATCCTTTGTAGGTGCAGGCTCAGCCCATCACTACGTGATCAGACAGCATGTGCAGGCAAGGGGGGGTTGCCTTTTGTTTCCCATGCACATAAATGAGGAATTATGAGTCACCGAGCTAGGGCTATTGTTTCTTGATGGGCTTAGCCAGTCTGTTGATGGGCAAGAGATTAGTTTCCAAGCAACCGTGTGTAGAATCTCTCAGTTACGTGCAGTCTTGCAGGTAGATGTGGGAGGAGGGTTGCCTGCGTGTGACAGAGGGAGCTCCTCATGGCATTTGGAGCTCTTTGTCCTTGTGCCATGGCATGGCATCTGAGGCTTTGTGCAGGCTTATGGAACTGCTTCATCTCACAGCAGGCAAGAGGGCAGATAACCTTGAAGAACCAACTGGAACAGCAATGGAAAGGAAGACTTTCTACTCTTAGGTGTGCATTCTCAACTGGCATCACATTGGGTCACCAAGCAATACAGTCCCTTAAGCATATGTTTGCACAGTCCATTTTATCACTTATGGGTTATAAAGTCCATAAGAGCACATTAAGTGCCTTGCAGGGCAACATGTGGCACATCCCTATTACTTTCTTTGTCCAAAGAGTGATATGGAGCTTCTCCACACACAACTATGTGTAGCTCATAAACTAAGTCAGAGTCCATGGGTTGGAAGCAGACTAAACTGGAAATTTCCGCTGATTCCTCCCTTCCTGCTATAGACTCCCCTCATTACCTTCCTCGGGGTCCCCAACCCCCCGGTAGTGAAATTCCATGCAGATTAATGGGGTGCAGTAGGATGGGGAAGACAGGAAAACTCTGTTCTATTCTGCCACTGGAAAATTTAGTCTGGATCCAACACAGTGAGACTGACATTTGTAAAGATGATAATACTACCGGAACATTTGTTTCTATTTCAAATGGAAGACATTAGGTTCAAATGGAAGAAATTAAAATCAGGGCAGTATTTGATTAATTCTGTTTTTAAGGGAAAATAGGTCAAAATAAGTTTCTGATACTTTACAAAAGTGGTTGTAGTACAAGGATATCAAATTTAAGGGACTAGTATGTGGCATCATTGTTGATTGTAGTGACAACTTGGTGGATTTCCTAGCTTACGTTAGAATAGAAGAATGTAGGGCAGGATCATAAATTATTGCCATGGTTACCACAAGTGGTGATAGAGCAGCTGTGCAAAAGGACTGTAGAAACTATTCTAAGAACATGGAATATATATTTTTAAATGCATGGAGTTCTTAAGTGTCACCTTCTGAGTAAATTTTTGAACAAGAGAATATGCAGACCTTACAATATATGAATTCATAAATTTATATAGAAGTCTGAATCTTTTTTTAAAAAAAAATGGCACAGTGCCCTATGAACAGATAGTGAAGAGAGTACAGGAAAGGAATTTACTGTCCCAATATCCAGAGATCTGTTCTGGTTTTTAGCAGAGCTAAAGGATCTTTGCAGCTAGAAAAACAAAAAGAACGAGGGCAACTATCAATATATGCAAAAACTAGGGGAAATATCAATTATTTATTGGGATTCAAATTAGTATTACTTGTCTAGGACATCAAGTTAGTGTTAACTGACTAGGACATGTGACTAGTACTGCAATAACTTTGTGAAATTAAAAAAACAGGCTTCCAGTGGATATGAAAAAAATCTCAGGGAGGAGACTCTCTCCCCTAGGCTGTGATCAGAAATGCCATTTGGTGCGGAGGGGAAGTGAGCCTATTTCCCCTGGTGGAAACTGACACAGCATTGCATGGGCATACATCTTTTGTAGGTGCAGGCTCAGTCCATCACTACGTGATCAGACAGCATGTGCAGGCAAGTGGGGGGGTTGCCTTTTGTTTCCCATGCACATAACTGAGGAATCGCACCTCTGCATGGAGGGTTCCCCATGGAGTATGCAGTTATGCGCATACTGGTAAGCAAAGAAAAAAATGGCACTGAGTCGGGTGCTTGAGCAATCAGACAGGGGAAAGTCCATCCATGGCCTGTTGGCAAGCATTAGGACCAGACTTTCCCCAGTGTCTTTTAACTCTGCTTCCATGGCAGGGCAGCACAGGGTGCCGGCGGCTGCAGGACTTTTCCCAGATGTTGCTGTCTGATTGTGCCCTTTAGATCCATCAGGCATTCGCATCTGAGTCAGATCTAAAGGCATGTTTGACTGTGGCCTTAGTGATCTTTCATCACATTTGTTTATTTATTTGCACTCCTGTTTACAGGTCTAACATATGATTGCTTTAGTGCCATTTTTAGGGCTTCCTTCTTTTTCACTACGTGATAACGACCAATAAGTCAACAAGTAGTGAATGCAGTGATGTCACAACACCAGATAGCTAATACGTTTTGGCTATGTGAAGTCCCCTGTTGCCCTTGATCTGAAAGATGTAGAAGAATTCTTCCCCATTGCTCAGGAAACTGGATAACACTCCTAATCTTTCCACTCTATTCTGGCATCTCATTGCATTCCTGGACTGCATGGAAAGCCTTTTGTTTAGTCTAGCTTGAGTTGTACATATTTTCAATAACTAGTTCGATGAAGATGCTAATTCATATGTACATTTAAATGTATCCTGTTAGGTTGCGATCAGATGTGCTGTTTGATCTGGTGTTGTCACTGTTCCCTTCTGGATTTAAAATGCATGTCCAAACAGCAACATCTGTCTTCCGTTCCCCAGTTGTGGGCACCCCATTCTGACCTGTCTTCAAGCTGGAGTTATTTGGCACCAGGGAAAGTCCGGTCCTTCCTGGTGTATGCGGTTTCAACCCACACTTCTGGATGTCTGATCAATCCATTGAGCTCTCAAGCCACTTGGGAAGTCTGAACATTCCTTTCCAATTTGGGGCTTTTTTGAGGCAGTTAGCAAGGTGTGCATAACTGCATATTCACCCCTCTGTCTTCTCCCTCTCTCTGTGGCTGTCTGTCTCTCTCCCTCTCTCCCTCTCTCTCTCACACACACACACACACACAAGCCTCTCAAAGCTGTGTTCTTTTTTTAGAAAACTTCCAAAGAAAGACATCTCTGTACTTTTTTCTGTGCTCTTTGGCCATGAGGTGGGGAAGGGGTTAATTGAGGGGGCAGTCTGAGAATGATGCCCATGACTCCAGTTTCCCTTCAAGCTTTTGAATAAAAATGCCAGCAGCAAGAGGACACAGGATGAGGCTTCTCTATCTCCCCCCTGGCTTTGAAATGTCTGAAAAATTGAATTTATCAAAAGTAGTTTCAAAAACACTTTACACTGAGCTATATATCCCAGAAGCCTCCTCCAGCAATCCCATTGGCCACCAGCTGTATCCATTATGACTGTAGTTTGAAGCACTGCTTCCCATAACCGCTTATGTGCATGCTCAAAAGACAAATTGTTAAAAAAATTGTCCGACTGCCCCACTCTATGGCTGCCACATCTGATCAATCAATCACAGGGTGAAAGCACCATTAAAGTTAATTTTGATGAAATTTGGAAGGGTTTTTTCCCCTCTTTTCACTGTAAGGAGGAGCATGAGGTACTGCTATAAACTGAGCTGAACTGTAAGGATGCATATTATGATATACTAGGAGGAAGGCCCATTGTAGCAAGAGACAACGAGTGCTAGCGGCAGGTGGTGGGCACCTGCCCACTCTAGGCAGCCCAGCAGTGATGGGACAAAGGCACATGGCCACGGTGCTGCCTGATGCCACGGTGGGTCAAGGTGACCTGCCGTGGCCCTCCCATGATGGGGTGACCGGCACCCTTCCACGCCAGCGTGCTTGAGGCCCCTATGGGTGGAGGAGGCCGGGTGCGGCCCCCCATACTGGGATGAAGGCGTTGGTGGGCCAAGTCGGCTGGTCTGGCTCCCCCCCCCCGGCTGCTGGAGACACCGGTGGGTGTGCTGCTGGTGGAGAGGCCCCATGCCACCCAGCCCTCAAGGAGGCCGCCAAGCAGCCACAGAAGGCAGGGGGTGGGCAAAGATGGGTCGGTGGTGGTCAGCGTGGTGCAGGAAGAGAGGCGAGTGAAGCAGGGGCTGTTCAGCCCCCACCCGGCTGGGACGCGGCCGCAAGTCAGCATCGTCACACTGGAGTGCGGCAGTGGAGGAGGGCCCCCCGAGTAGGCCTCCCCGCACCTGGCCGCTGTGGCGGCAGAGCAGGGAAAAGTGAGGCAGGGGCAGTTGGAGGTCTCGCGTAGTAGTGGGAGGATCGTCCCGTGGTCCCTGACTTCCCTCTGCACCACTGGCCCCCTGGCTGGCCGGGTGGCAGCGTCCCATGGGCCTCGTCTGTGGCCATCAGTCCAGCAGCCCTCTCCCAGTGGCAGAGCGCCCAGCTACCTGGAGGCTACCTGGGGCAATGAGGAATGGTGTGGCAGCGGTAGGATTGACCTGGGGCTCGCACACGTCCCAGCGCCGGAGCATCCATCCCGCCCGGCGGACCCACACAGACTGAGGGCGAGAGGCTGCCTGGCAGGTCTGTGGGTGGGGCTGAGGTGACGGAGGGAGGGAGGGAATCCAGCCAGGGGATTGGCCCCCCCGTTGAGCGACAGGTCAGGGACCCAAAGGCTAGGGAGGCATGTGGAACGTTCAGGCGAGTCTCACACCAAAATGCTTTTATATATAAGGAGAGATTTTGTATTTTTCCAGCTTTTTTAAAGGTCTGAGAACCCAATTTATTTGATTCAAGTTTAAATAAATCTATCTATAAAATCCTGATTGCTTGGCAAAGTACAACCAGAGCAAAAATTTCTTCCATTGTTTTTTGTTAGATTAATAAAGGTAACCAGCTTGCTACAGTAAAATTTCTACTCTGTTCTTTCCAGTTTTTCACCTTTGAACAATACAAGAAATTACTAGGATACTGTTCACTGTCACCAGCGTTGGTAAGTGAGAATATGCAGTTTATTTGCTTCTTTCTGTATTTACTTTTGATTTTATAGCAGGAAATGAGACAGAAGTAAGCAATATAATAACAAATACTTCTTCCTCCCTGTTCTAATGGATCCTAAACACACCTTTAACCTTAAAAGTGTGCAACTCTATTTAGGATTGCACTGGCAAACAGTGAAATGTGGTTGTATATGTAAAATGTGGAGGAAAATGTGTGCCTTTCGATTCTTGGCCTTGAGATCCTAGATTTATAAGATCTAAAAATTTGGCTACCCAACTGCCAGGCCATGTAGATGCTTTTTATGGTGTTACCAAAAAATAATCTGGAAGAGTGAACTAATAGCAGATTCTGACCATCTGGATTACAGATTTCTTGGTCAAATGAGTTAGGGGACTGGAAATATTTTTGGAGTTTGGCTTTCATGGTGGAAGTTTTATGACAAGCATAGAAAGCAGATTTTTGTTTGGCAATTAAAGCAAAACAAAATCTATTTGAGTTTTGTGGCAGGGTATGAGCGTTTATGAGTCACTGCTCACTTCTTCAGATCTGTGATTTCAGAGCTGTGACTCACAAAAGCTCATACCCTGCCACAAATTTTGTTAGTCTTTAAGGTGCTACTGGACTCTTGCTCTTTTCTACTGCTATGAACAGACTAACATACCTACCCATCTTGATTTATTTGAGTGTATATAATCACCCAAAATAAATGAAACTTTGCATGAAATGAGACTCTGAGATGATTATTACTCTAGTTATCTGATATACCATAGAAGTAGTGTTTCTGAGGGGGTCCATTAAATTTCCTTCTCTTCCACTCCATTTCTCTTTATGGACTGCCATCTCTTCCAAAGAATATGAAATCCAAAGAATTCTTACAATTTCAGCATACCTTTTAAGAGAGTAGCCCTACTTTGTTTTGCATATGTGCAGTACATATAAATTATATTTCATTGAGCTTTGTACATTGTAGAATAACCTCGTATTCTAAAACCATAAATACAGAGAAATGGCAGTAATAATGTCAGAAATGTTTTGTGTGTAGAGATGGTGAAATCTCATAAGAGACCTTTCTCTACCACCCATATAATGAATCAGGGAAAATGGTTTTGTATCTAGCACAGCTCACAGAAAACAGCATGTATATTTTTCCGTGTTCAGAAACATTCATGACAAAGAATGCTCCATGTACTGTTCCCTACTTGGATCCTTACATCCCACACCTGGCATTAAACAGATTGCTCCCCTTCTTGAATGGGAACTAAGACTACATCTACAAAAGAACTGATCAGCTTTCTCAACTCCAATAGATTGAATCATGTATTTAGGAAACATAGTAGGGGCTCTTCCCCACTGCCACAAAAACATGACTCACAGTTTCAAAAGCTTGCAATGCACCTGTGAGGTCCTGTGAGGTCCTGCTCATGAAAATCTTTGAATCTGGTTCCTAGTAAGTGATAGAGAATACAACAAAGGGCACAGCAAAATAGGAGTAGCAAGAATAGTGAACAAGAAATTGCTGCAATAAGGTTCAAATCATTCCAAAATAATGAAATAACCATCAATGAACATATACTGATGTAAAAAGACCCCGAAACGAACTTCGAAAACTCGAGCTGTTCGTCTTACTTATGAAATAAAGAAGAAAAAATTGGGATTTTTACATCAGTATATGTTCATTGATGGTTATTCCTAGTAAGTGATGACACAGATGGTATTTTAGAACCTTAAGTAGCACTGTATGGTCCCTTGACACTTTTTGTGTGAGCATCTTCCCCCCCCCCCGCAGACTACCTTTGGTGTAATGTTTTTCTGCCTGCTTTCATCTGTCTGAGATTTTATTTTTTTGCATCTCAGCTAACAATAAAGCATCTGTTTGTTTCTCTGTATATTTAGATATAGCCTGGCAGATTCCAAAGGTTTTGAATGGATAAGCTCCCCTAAACTAGAACAGAGCACATTTAAGAAAACCTAACCCATCTGTGAACTTCAAAAGTCAGCGCATACTGACAGATCAGAAGGCACATCCAAATGATGCTTAGACCTTCTTCATACATTTTCTGGCAGCCCAGTTATTACCAGCAGTGAACATATGAAGCTAACATATAAGCTGCCTTATACTAAATGAGCCCATTGGTCCATCTAACACAGTATTGTTTACTTTAACTGGTAGGACCTTTGTCTTTGTAGAGTCTTGCTACCTGATATTCTTTGAACTGAAGATTCCAAGAAAAATATATGATCTACCACTGAGCCACAACCCCTTCCTGATAAGTGACATTTTTCTGTATGTTTAATCAGTTACAGAAGCATGTCCACATAATTAAATCTGGAATTTAGCCTAGTATTAGGAGTCTTGGGATCACTGTTAAAATAAGCTTAAATCACCTCCTGAACCTGTGCCTGTCGAAATGACCTCCTGTCAGACAGGCAGTCATTTTGATAGATGCTGGTTCAGGAGGTTCAGGAGTGTATAGAATGGATCCTGTGCAAGCTTAGAGATACCAAACTCACAGGGGATCTCCTGCTGACTCTCATCTAATAAGAGGAAATGACAGGCAGTCCCCAGAAAGCACCACCGTGCAAAAAGAGGACACCTTCTTGGGGGGGCGGTATAGCTCAGGCCCCATAAATCTAATCCTCACCAAACTTGGAGGGCAGGTAGAGGAGAGTCAGCTGGAGATCCCCAGCGAGTATGGTGTCTCTAGCACACCAGGAGGCTGTTCTGCCAGGTCACAAACCTCACAAACTGAACCAATTCATTTGACTCCTAAAAGTTTATGATCATTCATGGTTTGTTTGTTGGGGTTTTTAAAGCTTTATTTATCAGTTTTATCCAGTATTAAATTCAGGTTGACATTTTCCAAGAGTTATTTATCCACTTATACACTCTTGCCCACCTAATTGTATGAATACATTCGCCTTTCCCTTGTAACATCAAATTTAGTTTGTCCATTTGTATCAGTTCAAGCAATTTTGTCCTTATTTCCTCCCTTGTCAGAGTTTTTTCTAGTTTCCAAAACTTAGCCAACAATATCCTGGCAGTTGTCAATACATAGATCAACAGATAGACATCTTTTTGTACAAAGCTATCCCGGATTATATTTAACAAAGCCATTTCGGGTGTTAAAAAAATATTTTGTTCCATTATTTCTGATATTATTTTTTGTACCTTTAACCAATAGTACAATGCCACCACATGTGGAAAAACGTTCCCACATTTCCTTTGCATTTCCAGCAGTTGTTGAAAACAGATTTATGACACTTAGCTAATCTATCTGGCGTCCAGTACCATCTATGAAAC